AAGGTGATATGAAGATTCCTGATTCAGTTTTTATACATTGTGAGACAGGGTCACTGGCCCCAAGAATTGTACCTTAGACACCTAGTGACCTCCCTTGGGCCTGCAAGGAAACATTTTCAGTGTGACAGCCTCCCTCCATCCCATTTGTTCCACAAAGTGGACTTTTGTTTCTACCTAGCCTCAATATCCTCTTCTGTTCCTTTTCCCCACTCCTCCCCTAGGAGCCATCTTTTATAGCAAAGAATTGTTGTTTAAAGGTGGGGGGGTAGAAATCCGCAAAACCAAACAGTATGTAGAAAAAAATCTGATGCTAATCCCCTGGAGTGGATTTCTGTCCCTCCCCCCCACCATGGCGTTTTCTCATATCTCTTTCTTGGGGCCAAGTTTCTTCTCTGTAATTTGGCAACATTCATTTTCAATTATTTCATGCTTTTTCTTTCCATTTACACTGTTGCATTTATTGTTCCTGCTGTTCTGCTTCATACTGCTCTTTGCATCAGTACATGTACATCTTTTCATGATTCTCTTTAATTCAGTCCATCAGTCAGTAAATATTTATTTAGCATCTTCTGTGTGCCAGACATTGGAGACATAAAAAGAGACAAAAGACAGTCCCTGCCCTCGAGGAGCTTACAATCTAATGGGAGAGATAGCATCCAGACACATATATACAAAGCAAGCTGTACACAGGATAAATACACAATAATTAACAGAGGGAAGGCACTGGAATTCATCATGTTCATGTGGAACGGTAATACTCGTATAGCACAGCAATATTCCCTCACATTCATGAACCACAATATGTTTTTCCATTCCCAATCAATGGTCATCTACTTTGCTGTAAGTTCTTTGCTTCCACAAAAAGTGCTGCTATAAATATTTTGGTGCATGTTGGTCAGTGACCACCTTGGGTCATTGGGTCAAAGGGTACGGACATTTTAGCCACTTTATTTGTATAAATCCAAATCGCTTTCCAAAATAGTTGTATTGATTCACAGCTCCACCAACAATGCACTAGTTTATCTGTCTTTCCACAGCTCCTATAATGTTGGTTACTCCCATCTTCTGTTATCTTTGCTGAGTGTAAGGCATAACACCCTGGTTGTTTGTTTTGCATTTCTGTTATTATTAATGATTTTATTCTTTTATATGATTGTTAATAATTTGTAATTCTTTTGAGAATTGAGTGTTTATAATCTTTTAAACACGTGCAAGGATCCTTACACATTCACATTCAGCTCCCTGCAAATGAGTAACTGAGACTCAGAGAGGTTAAGTAACTTGCCCAAGGCCAGAGAGGGAGTTAGTGACAGCAGCAGTCTCTGAACCCAGGTCCTTCAACTTCATTTCCAGCACTGTTTCCCTTTAACATACTACATTCTCGTTTCTTACACCTCCTTTACCTCCTCCTTTGATGTTGCTTCTCCATTGGATTCCTTTACCCAGCCACCCTCTACCCTCCCAATCTTCTTATACCTTAGCACACCCTCCCCACCCCCACCCCCACACACACACACCCCTATGTACTCTTCAATCCAGTGCCACCTGCCTCCTGGCTCTTCCTTGAATAAGATTCCCCTTCTTGGCTCTGGGCATTTTTGGAAAGCTCTCTCTCCTCATCTCTGCCTCCTGGCTTCTTTCAAGTCCCAGCTAAAATGTCACCTTCCTGCCAGAAGGCTTTCCCACCTCATCTTCATTCTAGTGCCTCCCCTCTCTTAATTATTTCCTCTTTATCCTGTACAGAGTTTGTTTGTAAATAGCTGTTTGCCCATTAGACCGTAAGCTTCTTGAGGACCAGGACTGTCTTTTACCTTTCTTTGTATTCCCCACATTTAGCACAGTGCCTGGCACAAAGGAGTTGCTTATTGGCTCTGGCTGCCTTAATAGCCCTGTGACCTTGCCAAGTCACCTAAGCTTCAAAGCCTTGATTTTCTACTATGTGAAATAAGAAAAGTGGTCTCTGCTACCAGGCTGTGAGGCCATTGTGAAGGCAGATCATCCCTACAGATCTCCCGGGCATGTGGAAGTGAGAATTGTTAGCGTTACTCTTATGCTACCCCTTCTTCCGTGCCTAGCTCCAGACTTCCTGCTCTCGGCCCTCAACCTTGAGAATATTCAAAATTTGGAAAAGCGGACTTTAGCACCAAGGATAAATTAGCCATTGGTCATTTGTGCTGATGCCAGAGTTTTCCTATTTTCACCTCCAAAGAGTGGACTGGAAGCAGGAAGCTTGAGGTTACAAATCTATGTCAGGAATCCATCCCAGGACACCTTTCTGTAGTCAGCTTCCCTTGGACATCTAAAACATGGTTCATTTTACAAGAAAATTCAACTCACACATTGATTTCCCAGGAGTATTTCTGAAGCGTAGTTCATCCCAATTTAGTAAGATGCAACATGGGTACCTTAGGGATACCAACTACAGGCCTCCAGAGGAGCCAGGAGCCCTGGTTTCTAGCAAGTTGTTTGTTTTGGTTTGTTTTTTTTCCCTTTCCCCTTTGACCAGGAGTGTGACATGGAAAACTTCAGTGCTACCTTGACTGTGGCAGCTTTGTGAATAGACAGATGCCCTCGTGCCCCAAGGGCTGAAAAGTGAACAGCCAAGACTTGCATGTTCCTTGGCTTCCATGGGATTCTTCATGGCATGGCTTGGTGCAGTGGATAGATGGGTTGCCATATTTGTAGCCAGCAGATCTGGGTTCTAAGGGCATTCCCAGCTCAGACATTCTTGTTCTAAGGTTCCCCCCAACTATCATCTCTGATATCCCCTGTTCTAAGGCCCCTCCCATCCCTGACATCCCCTGTCCTAAGGCCCCTCCCAGCCCTGACATCCCCTGTCCTAAGGCCC